TAAACTTTTATATCCCTTGGAGATCTTAATAGAAATAAGAATCCTCAGTAGGTCTGATGTGGACCTAAGATTCTTATTTCTGTCAAGCTCCCAGGTAGTGAAGATGCAGGTACTTGGATAAACTCTCCATGAGTGGTTTATAATTGTTGTCAGTCTCAACATCTTCCTCAGTGAACAGAGTATTCCCTGTGTGTGTGTGTGTATTTAAGTTATTTGCCATGTACAAATTTTAGTGTAGTTTTATGTATTATAAACACACATAAAATATTGCAAGTTTAAGGAAATAGAAATAGAATTTATATTGTTTTATTTCAGTGGAATCCGCCTTCCACACCTTGATTTGAAAATCCGTGTTTCAGATATATCTGAATTCAAATTTGTCAGTTTTTATATGTAGTTTGAAGTATGTCTGTCCATTCACCATTATGACATTGTTGATTAATATAGCTTCATATTTTTGATATTCGATACATTTCTCCAACTTTAATTTTTCTTCTCCATCTTAAATGCTCTTATTCTTTTCAAATAGCAAATGCTTAAAATGATATATTTGTAGTAAATGAATTCATCTTGTTTTTTAAAATCAATTGTACATGGAGCAATTTTAACTTCGTAAACCAGTGTTTCCAAACTAGGCTATACCTCCCCCTGTGGGCCACTGGAATGATCCAGGGGCACTACAGAAGCAGATTTCTACACGGTATCCTGGATAAGGGATACTTATCTGTGGCATAGTGGTTACACATTGGGCTGCTAAAGACGGGACTTTCTACTCCCACAAAGAGTTACAGTTTTAAAATCCATAGGGGCAGGTCTCCCTTGTCCTGCAGAGTTGCTATGTAAGTCAGCATCAGCTCAATGACATTGAGAATCCTGGATTATGGGCTATATTTCAAACTGAGGAATTTTTTTTAAGGGGGTGCCAAATAAGTTTGGGAACCTATGTCTTAGACACAGAAATTGATTAAAAATATACTGTTCAATTGTAGAAACCTTAATTACACAAAAATATAAAAATGTGAAGCTGCTGTTCCTTGTAATATCCTTTCTCTAAGTCGATAAAGGTCTGAAGGCAATGTTTCCATATCTCTTACCCTTCCCTGAATTATACTGTTCTTTGATTTACACTGTCAAACAGTTTTTCCATCCTCTTGGGACTCAAATCATGCTGCTTTTCAATTCTTTGACTTTGGGGAACAAAAAGGAGTCTAAAGAGACATTCCGTGCTGTCGGGTGAAGGGGGTAAGGTGTTCCAAGCAATTCTTATAGGACCACTCTTGCTACCCTAAAATAGTTAGCAGGAGCATTGTCCTGAAGAAAAAAAATATCTTTGGGGCAGCTTTCCTAACTTTTTTTCTCACTGATGCAATTTTCAGTATTCTTTAATCTGTTTCCTAATGAGCTCCAGCGTCCATCCTGTGTCCTTTGAGCGAAATCTATCTTGATCACCCCTTTGGAATCCTTCAAAACTGTCCCCATAATCTTCTGAGCTGACCCCTGCCTCAAAGGCAACTAGCTGAGCGGATGCCCTCTAATCCACTGTTTGGATTTTTGGATTGAACCTTGCTCACTGGGCTGCATTGCTAAATCCAAGATTGCTTAGAATTCATTCCATAAAATCATCTTCATTAACTCTGATCTTACATTAGACGTTGATGGAAGAATCAGCTCTTTTAACTAGTATCTTTGTACAACACTCTGGCATCTAGCCAACTGTAAGTTTTCTAAGGCCAAGATGTCCTCTTAAGATTGGAAATGATGAATTGTGTGGGATCCTAACTTCAGTAACTATAGCATCAGTAGTAATTTTACATTTTTTTCTGTTTCTGACTTCACCCAATCTCATTTGTTGAGGTTGATGCTTTTCTCTCTCTTAGCTCATCATTATAGTTTTCCTGACCTTCCTTAAAACACTAGATCTATCTAAAAACTCATATTTTGTTGGGCAGCCTTCCTGTAAAACTTTTTGCAAAGTGTCAATGATTTGGGAAGATATTCACTTGAGTTCTTAATAATTTGAAAGTAGCCCTGACCTATAAAATAGTATTTTTCTACAGCACAAAATATATTCTTATTTTAAAGGGATGCCCTAACAAGACAAGAAAAAAATCTGCCATTGAGTTGCTTCCTATTCATAGTGACCCAATAGGGTAGAATAAAATTGTCCCTTTGGTTTCTGAGCCTAAATCTTTACGAGAGCCAATGGTGCCATCTTTCTTCCCTCAGAGGAGTTGGTAATTGTATTATTGAGAATTTTTCTGCGATCATTACTGATCACAGAGATATGCTTAAACACATTTTTCTTAGGAATAAATCTGTGCATGAGTGAACTGAAGCCCTGGTAGCAAAACCTTTATACTTATAACCAAACAAAACAAAAAAACCAAACTCACTGCCATAGAGTCAGTTCCAACTCTTAGTGACCCTATAGGACAGGGTAGAACTGCCCCTGTAGCTTTCTGAGAATGGAAGTCTTCACTGCGAGCAAAAAGGCTCACCTTTCTCCAGAGGCTAGCGGTTTCAGACTGTTGACCCTGCAGTTAGCAGCCCAATGCGAATCATTTCAAGGCTCCTACCTTTTCCACTTAACCCTGCTTTTTTAAAACTGTGTTTTTTTGTAATTATTTTATTGGGGGCTTGTACAACTCTTATCACAATCCATACATTACATCCATTGTGTCAAGCACATTTGCACATTTGTTGCCATCATCATTCTCAAAACATCTGTTTTCCACTTGATCCCCTGGCATCAGCTCCTCATTTTTCCCCTCCCTCCCTGTTCCCACTCCCTCATGAACCCTTGATAATTTACAAGCCATTATTGTCAAAGCTTACACTGTCCAACAGGACGTCCCCCTTCACCTACTTTTCTGTTGACCGACGCCAAAGAGGAAGTTATATGTAGATCCTTGTAATAGGTTCCCCCTTTCTACCCCACCTTCCCTCCACCCTCCTCTCTCACCACTCACCACTGGTCCTGAAGGGATCATCTGTCCTGTATTCCCTGTGTTTCCAGTTCCCATCTGTACCAGTGTGCATCCTCTGGTACAGCTTGGCACCATCTTGACTGGAACCCCTACTATTTTAAATATGATTTGAAAATCTTAAGGATTATACTTGTACATGGCCATTTGTTTATAGCAAAAAAAAATGTCTTTTGTGTTGATATCACTCTGGTCATAACCCTGGACAAATACACATTCAGGATCCAAAATTTTTAGAACTTCTACGTTTTTGTTTCTTTATTGGTTGAAAGTAGAACTCTAGCATACTGAAATTATTGAGACAAAAAAACTCCAAGACCTGTAGTCTTAATATTTTCTGCTTTTTCCTTCTCTTAGGGATGATAGAAACAGCACAAGTGGATGAGAGGGCAAAAGGCAATGGCTCTAGTCAACCAGGAGCTGCACGGCGAGGTGTACAGATCATCGATGACGAACCTCAGGCCCAGAGTGGTGGCGGAGGGTGCTGTTCCTCTGGATAACTCCTCACTCAAAAGAAATGACCAACAGCAGCAACAAAACCACACACATATACACAAAAACTGTGGATCATTGCCCTCAACACGAAGACTGCCATATTCCAAGTCACGTTATTTTACCAATGGAGTTAGAGAATTAACAGTATTTTAAAATACATTTATAACACTGCAGAGACCTTAAGTGCTAAACTTAGTGGAGTTTGTGACCAGAGAATTGGCATTTTCTACAAATGTTAACAAAGCAATTACCAATGGCCTTTTTACATATTTTTTTTCCTTAATGAGGAATAATATGCATGTAGAAAAGACCTACTTAAAAGGCTTCATTTATATTCTTTTAAATCAAATCTTTATTTAATAACTTATATATGTTGTTGGAATGGTAAACGTTTTTGCAGCCCTTTGTATTTTGTGGTAGTTTGAATTGTATCATCACTTCTGAACAGCAAACTGTTTCTCTTTTTTGTTTTTTAATTAGCAGATTCCTGAAGTACTATTTTTGCAGGGTTTGCACAGGCCCCTAACTGTCTACTACTTTGATATAATCTATATTCATCCTTTATGCTGAGCTGGTAAAATACATTGTATATTACATATTAAATATTTTATCTGCTTTTACAAGTGCAAGGTGCAAAAATATTTACAATAGTCTCATTGATGACTGTAAAGTGAATTAACATTTGGTGATAATGCCTAAGCTTTTTGACTCTATGTTATGCAGATCATAGCTCCTCTTCACTTTTGTCTTAATTTGAAAGTGGGCGTGTTAAAATTTTCACACATTCTTTACTTGAACTACTACTGCTGTCACTTTTTCCCCCCTGTAAATCCATCTGAGATTGATCAGCAACATTTGCCTTTTAGTTTGTGTTTTTTGTTTTTGTAAAAGAAGTACATCTACCAGTTTTGCTTTAGGATGGTTACTTTAGAAGTATTTGAGTGAAGCATATTGAGTTTCACTCTGCAACGGCGTTAGCTTTCTGACCGTTGTAGCTTTCTCTTATGCTTTATATGAGATGGGTTCAGTGGAGTGAGAAGAGGGGAAGAATTCCCACCCAGTAGCCGATTACCAAGAGTCATTCGTACAGCATGCTAGTAGTGGTCAAGCTGGGTTTGTTCATGGCTTGTCAGAGTTGAACACAAAGTTTTTGTTTCATTTTATAAGAGTTGTCCTATGTTTCGGAAGGGAGACATGTAATGCAGTTTTAGCAAACACTGGAAAGATTTATTATAAAATTATATTCTTGTATACTTTGTAAATTAGTCCCTCATTAGTTTTTTCAAGCATAGGACTGAATTTAAATTTGTTAATTTTAATAGAATCCGGCACTGCTCACAGAAGGAACACAGATTGTGGAAATTAACAAATTGCTCTTGTTCTAATATATATATTTTTCCATTTCTGTCATGCTTGGAAAACTAGTAAATGTTATGTCTGAGATAAAATGGAATGGCCCCTGGATTTACTTCTCATAAGAAGCTGTAGTATGCAATAAAACTTAGTGTGAGTGAGGAAGAGGCTATTAAAAGGTTAAAGCTATTGATTATGTATCTTTAAATAACAGCAAAAAGATTCTCAAATGCCTTTGAAAATTTGAATGAATTGACACCTGCATGTTGCAGTGTTAGAATTTTAACTTAAAACTAGTATTGTGTTCTGTGAGCACTCCTCCCTTGTCCTTCTTTAATATTGCCCTTGCCAAACTCAGTGCACTGATTGCTGTTCATTGTGTTTTGGGAGGTGGGCGTAGGAGTAAGAGTAAAGGAGATAAGTTAAAACAGTCTTCTTTTGTGGGATGATTGTATTCTGTGTAGTCTCTTGCTTCTTTGTGAAGCTGGTGTTTTTGGGAGGAGATGGTGGAGTGAGGACGTAGAGGTAGAAATCATGACCATTGGCACATTAAATGTTTTTGTGCTCCTTATGAGGGAATAAAGCAAGCTTTGCCATTCTTTCTTACTGATGAAAATGGTAAGTAAGTTCTGCACTGGAGTTAAATACATTCTATGTATCTTTCTTAACCTCCAACATTACATTCTTTTTCATTGTAATGTAGGCCTGTTCATTGGCACTAATAGATACTATGGTATACTTGCATTTGTCGTTAGCCAGGAATAGAGTAAAAGAATAATGTAAGAGGATCAATCAACTGCAATACATCAACAAAAGGAAATAAAAGAACAGTAAACCAAGGTTGAGGACATTTCTCTCATACTTACTTCACCAATCTAATAAACCTGGTGTGCCCTTGCCCTAATTGTGCTATTAGGAGAAAGATATAAGTCGTCATGTTTTGTAGTAACAGTAATAGGTAGATAAAGCCAGTATTTTTTTCAACTATTTCAAGTGTAGCATATTGAAAATGGTTTAAATAGTAATTAAAATGTACTTGAATATTTTATTCTGTTAAAAGTACACAATCATGTATGTGTTTCTTCTTAGAAATTTAAAAGTGCCTCCCACCAAAAACCTGTTGTGCTCCATTCCAGCCCACGGCCATCAGGTCAGGTCCAACTCGGCAACCCCAGATATGGTTTCCAAGGCCGTACATCTGTACAGGAGCAGAAAGCTGTATCTGTCTCCTGTGGAGCAGCTGGGGAACTACCATCTCAGACTCACGTAGCACTTTTAAGGCCACCAGGGCTTATAAAAAAGAATATATTTTAGGAAAAAAGTCTGTGTACCCCTCCAGGGACTGCTCCGAAATAGTAATTATTACTAGGTGCTGTTGCGTCTGTTCCCACTGGGCAACCCTGTGTGCGACAGAAGGGGATCCTGTCCGGCCACGTGCCATTCTCCCAGCTGTATTTGAGTCCGTTGTCGGTCAGTCCAACTCCTTTACAGTGTCTACTCGGAGACATGCTCCTCAGTTACTGTGCTGGTCATTTAAGTATATGTACAGGGTGGCCTCTGGAAACTCATGGGAAAATTATGTAATCTTTTAATTCCATTGTTCCATAAACTTTGGAGACCCCTAAATACTTAGCTATAGCAATATATAGTTGGTGGGTTTTTAATTTTCATAAAAATTGTGTTTTACCACACACATGATTTGCAACATTTTTTCCTCCTCTTCCCAACACATCTAGGAAGTCTATCAAGAAGTACTTTTCGATTTCTTTTTTCCTACATTTCTGGTTGCATTGTTTTGTAGCCCCTGACTACATGATTCCCAAAAGAAATCCAGTTAAAAAGATTTCAGTACGATAAAATTTAAGTGCAAGGCCAGTTCTTAACTTAGAATATCAGATACCTCCTTAAGCATGTTAGTAAGGGGAACCAGAAACATATTTGCTTGCAATTCGTTTGAAGCTCATTACTTTTGGTCTACTGTTGACATACTTTAAGATCCAGTTTTCAGCATATTATTTAACTTTTTGAGGGAAAAAGCGTAGTTGACAGGGAGAGGGCAGGATAAACTACACTGCATAGGTAACTCATGCTACTCATATACAAAGGGTCTTTAAAAAGCTTATAGCAAAAGTCTCTTGTTTAATTCAATTTTCCCATGAAATTTTTGAAGTTGCCTTGTAACACAGGGTTCCTCGTACCCCAAATTCACACTATATGTGCTTTTAAGTTCAGAGCAAACAATGAAAAGCTCTTTGCAGATCTCCTTTTCTCCACCATCCCAATGAACTTCCTTAGAAGGTCCCTTTGTTAACAATTTGGTGTGTAACTGTCAATATGAATTATTTTGGGCCTTTGTCAGATTCTTAATTCCCTCAAGCAACTTTCATGTCAAATTTCACCCTTCACTATGATGCAGTTTACCAAGAACCAACAAGAGCTGTACTTTAAGCAAAGTTAAACTAAGGATGACTGCTGGAATTTGGTCAAGGGGCTCTGGTGGCTGCTAATGACAAAGCCAGCAGTTTGAAACCACCAGCCACTCTGAAGGAGAAAGACAAGGCATTCCCTTGAAGAGTTAAGTCTTGAAACCCACAAGGTCGGTTCTAACCTGACCTGTAGAGAATCCACTTGATGGCAGTAAGTGTGGTTTGGTGCTAGCACCTTAATGACAACTCCTGAAATATTTTATGCTTACTAGTTGTAGCATTCCAGAAAAAAGTCATCAATCTGTCTTTTCTCCCCTGTGGAAATAGGGTTGGAAAGAGTAGTGTGCAATTCCAGACTCCTTAATGCGTAGCTAATTCTGGGCTGGCCTTGTTTTTTGGTGTATTGCCCTGCCTGGGGAGCATTGCTGTATTCCCAACAATGACTTTTCAGCTGCTGCTCTGCACTATCAAAGCCATTAACCCATGAACACTGGCACAAAGTGAAATGTGTGAGCTACAGGATTAAAAAAATACATTATTCAAATTTTACCTTTAATGAAAATAATTCAGAGAGCAGGTTCGACACAAGACTACAAGATTTTTAAAAAGTTATTTCTGCATAGTCTCTTAAAGAGTTTAAAATATTCAGCTTAGGACATTTTTCTATTTTGACTCATTTATTGAAAACCAGTCACTCCCTGAGAGAAAGATGAGACTGCACTCATAAAGATACAGTCTCTGACACCTTATGGAGCAATTAATTCTGTGCCCTATAGGGTCATTATAAATCAGAGTTGACGAATGGCAGTGGGTTGAGGAATCCTGGTGGTGCACTGTTTAAAGCACTGCTGCTGAGGTCAGTGGTTGGATTCCACAGCGACTGCTAGGAGACTTGGCAGGCAGCTCCACTGAAGATTTATAAAGCCTTGGGACCTCTCAAGGTCACTGAGTTGAAATGACTTGACCACAGTGGGCCATAAGGTAACCCACTAAGGAGCTGTAGGGTACCCTGATGAAGTAGTGATTATGCTTTGGGCTGCTAACTGCAAGGTCATCAGATTGAAACCACTAGCTGCTCTTCGGTAGAAAGATGTGCTTTTTCGTCCTGTAAAGGGTTACAGTCTTGGAAACCCACAGGGGCAGTTCTACCCTCCCCTATAAGGTGGCTATGAACACTGACTCAATGGCAGTGAGTGAGAAGGAGCGCTGGTGGGGCTGAGAGGCATTGGGCTGCTAACCCAAAGCTGGTTGGGACCCAACACCTGCTTTGCTCCACTGGAGAACGATGAGGCTGTCGGGTCCCATAAAGAATGACAGTCTGGGGAGCCCTCCAATGAGTCTCTGAGTCGGAATTAACTCCATGGCTGTGTATTTGGTATACTGTCACTGAGTTGAAGTCTAATTGATGACCGTGAGGTTTGCTTTGTTTTGATATTGAGTGCTTACACTAAGGCAGATACAGAGGCCCTTTATAACCAAAGTGCCTTCCTTTCTAGTCAGCTTAGAGTTAGGGAACCGACCTCTTTCCTGTAGTAAACCTGAAGTTTGCAAATTATGATGACCTTTTTCAGAGGCTGCCCCAATCAACTATACATACCAATCACGTTCTTTGATCAGGTATTACCAGTCAAAGTCTTGGGGTTGGAGATTTTAGAATGATAGTAGTTGAAGTTTATGGTGAATTTGAGTAAAGTTGGCAGAATGTTTTCAGTTGTGCAAACAGATACATTTTCAAGCCAGAATAAAGTAGAACAGTTTATTTCTTATTTAAAGATATCTTTATCCCGGATTGCTTTTCTGATAGTAGTTTTATGGTAGTGGTGAAGAAACACTTCTTCCGACTTATTGAGACAGTTTTGTAGTTTTTATTTACAAAAAGAAAACCCTTTTGTTTTATAAAGCAATCAGACTATTTTCCTTGCCTTTAACAGATGTTGCCCTGTCATCTGACAGTAACCCAAGACAATCCATTCAGTATAGTTTATGCGTTTCTGAATGAACTTTGTGATTTGAAAGTATGGATCCTCGTTTTCTACCTGAAATGGGAGGTACAGGCCCAAAGGAGAGCTTAATCCATGTCTGAATTTTAATATTCTTTCCATTGCCTTTAATGATATTTTTGATATTATTGTATTATCTAGTTTTCCTCTTGACCTTTTGGGGGAAGAAAATAGTGTGAACTGCATTTTGTAACAGTTTTATTGGCACTTAATCCCCATATCACACAATTCAGTAGTTCAGTCATATCAAGAATTGTACTATCATTACCACAATCAATTTCAGAACATTTTCTTTCTCTTTCTTGACTAAATCACCTTTAAAATGAGCTGTGTAATCACATTCACATTCAGTTCTAGTGCTCCCTCCCCCCTCCCACCTTCACTGCTTACTCCCCAAATTCCCTCAACTTTCCATCTGTCCCCTACCCACCCTATATCCCCTACAAACCCTTGCATCAGTTATTTTCTCTAATGTATCCACTCCTGTGTGTGCTTCACAAACTAGTAAACCAACAGAAACAATAAAGAACAAACAAAATGAAGTGGTAAGGATAAAACAATAGTAATAAAAGATTAAAAAAATGAGTAAGGGAAAAGGACCACCATCAATATTTTAAAAGGAAAGTTTTTGTCATGGAACAAGCAAAAGATCCTTACATCTAGAACAAATTCAGATTGGGTCTAGAGGGAGGCCAACTGACCAAGTATCAAGTTTGATCCAGCATAATGGGGATTACAATGATCTGTGTTTGATAGTAAGGCTGTTCCAGACCTTTGCCTGTGCCTAGAGAAGTTCTGCCAGCCACTTAATCTGACTAGATACTCTGCAGATGGGTTTTGGGCTTCCACTATCCACACAACCTTCCACAAATTGGGTGTTCACAGTTTTAACTCATACTTTTCCCTTCATCGTATTTAAATTTTATTATTGTCATCATTGGATCACACAAGCTGGTGTACTTAATTGGTGGGCTTAATTGGCTCCTCACTTAGGTGGCCGCTCATTTGAATACAAGCCTTTAAGACCCCAGACACTATTCCAATTGGTAGCTGGGCACCATCTGCTTTCTTCACCTCACTTTGCTGTAACACCTTTATCTTCAATGATCATTTCATGCAAGTGAGTCTACAGCAGGGCCATACTATCAGAACTAACTGGTCTTGAATTGGGGCTAGAGTTCAGTGGGGGCCCAGAATCCATCTACTTGTCCCTGGGAATGCACTCTTTAAAGACCTGCTTATGATATAGGGATATGCCCCTTGCATGCCCCTGCCAATGTTGCCTTGATGAGGCTGACATTCCACAGTTCTTAATCCTCAGCATTTGGCTTTCTGCTCTGCCAGGATGAAAGCAGTGCACCTGCATCTAACAGACATTTAATTTGGAGATTTATGAAGTCGCTTCTATTCATTT